TTGCAGTTCCTCCCGGGTGAGGTGCGGGGGGCAGGGCACACGACGAAGCCCCGCCCCCTGCTTCCGGCCGCCCCGCTTCCGGCCCTCATTCAGCCAGGAGGAGGCAGGAGAAGAGGGAGGGTAAGTTGCTTCCTCCCCGCCTCTCACCACCCCTGCGTGCCTGGGGCCAGGGAGGGCCTTGGCGGGGCTTCCTCGCACTCCCGCCAGCCTTGCAGGTCCACCGCCGGGCCCCTGATGTCAGGGGGTGTGGCATATGCTAATGAGTTATGCTAATGAGTTCCCCTAGCTCTTTTTCTATGAAACGACCCCTGACTAGTAGGCTTTCCAAGCCAAGGAACTCCATAGTCCAGGACTGTCCCAAAATCTTGTAAGAAAGATTAGACTGAGACATAGTGATGTGCATCAGGCCAGGGCTCAGTCCCGTAGCTAGACAAGTTTTGGTGGTGGGAGGGCACTGGCTCCACATGCTTACATCACTTCCAACGTCACTTCCAGAAGAGACATAGGCACAAATGGGGAGTTACGCTGGGTTTCTCCTGTAACTTACTAGGTTTTCTGACCTGCAGGCGGGCTCTCCGCTGGCTGCCCCCTTCTCTCTCCCCTGCCCTGACTCCTCTCTGAACCTCTGATCTGCAAGCTCCCTGTGCTGTGCTGAACCTGCCTGTAGTGCCAAGGCAGCCCCTGACCTATTTTGTGGGGGTCCAAGGCAGTGGCACCTGCTTCTCTACAGCCTGGGCAGCAGTGGGTGGATTCAGTGGCTGGGCTCTGCTGGTGCTGCCAACCTCCTGGTAGGATGGGCAAAGGTGTGAGGCCGTGGGGGACTGGTCCTACCTGGCAAGGGTGGGATGTGTGGTGCTCACCCCAGCTGCCCGCACAGGAACTGCTTGCTCAGCCGCCATCACTGCCCGTTGCAAGGTTTTTCCGCCACCCACCGTAAGGAGGAGCTAATCAGGAAATTGAACTAAACCTGGAATGAGCGCATATATGAAACTGCACTGCGGGCCCAGTCAGATTCAACAGTCAGGGAATATTTGGGAGGCAGGGCCCCACAGTGGCTACAGGCCTGGCAGGGCAAAGCAGAGATGTTTGACTGGGTTTTTCCATGCCCAGACCAAACATTATTAAAATTCCATACGGATATCTTCTGTTTCTCCATACAGGTAAGCAACTGTTTTAAAAAGTATCTTGGTAAGCAGGGGGGAAAAATCCATGCAATAAAATGTTAATACGTTCAATTCTTGCTCTTTTACAAGGTGTCCTTAAATGTTCTTCAATTTATAGACCTTTTATGCACCTTTTAGCTGGAGAAACTGTCAACTTCCTACCATTTATTTTTATAGACCTAGTTTTGCCCTCATAAAATTACACAAAAAGAACAGCTAACTAGTTTATTTGAGCATTTCAGTGAACATTTGAGCGGGCAACGGCACCTGAAGGTCTAAGTATCCCACAGGAATGTTATATTTTTTTGAAAGCCAAACTCTTGATGAAGGTAACCCATTCCAGCCCTGCAAGACATTGTCCTCAACCTTATGTGAAGGTACTCTGATAAGACCCAGTGTGGTTAACACACAATCATGGAGCAGTGAATTAAAATCCCCACTTGTGCTATGAAGCTCACTGCTGACCATGGGCCAGTCTCAGCCTAACCTACCTCACAAGATTGTTGTCACAATAAAAAGGGGGAGAATGGGTTTGCTATACTGACCTGTTTGGAGGAAAGAGGGGGTTCAAAACTGAATAACTAAGACTACAGTCTTAAACTGGGTGACTTAGAAACCTATTCAGGTCTGTTTGATGGGGCTTAGTGACAGAAAAGTGTTTTTAGGATTGCACTGTAGCTAATCCAAAAAGTTCTCCATCCCATTCGTGGGGGATCGCGGGGGCTTGCAGTTCCCCCCGGGTGATTTGTTTGGGTAGCTTATAATCAAGGGCCATGCCTCTTCAATCACCTGCAACAGCCTAATACACAGATGTTACCATTGTTACAGTGCAGTCCTATATATATTTGCTCCAGTCTTAAACCTATGCCAATCAATGGGTTTAAAATGGGAGTAGAACATAAGAACAACCTGCTGGATCAAACGTGTGGTCCATCTAGCCCAGCATCCTGTTTCACAGAGTGGCCAAGCAGTTGCCCTGGAGAGCCAAACAAACAGGGCACAGAGGCCATAGCATTCCCCTGATGCTGCCTCCTAGCATTAGTATTTGGAGGTTTTCTGCCTCTGTAGACAGAGGCTCCCTTTAGTTATCATGGTTAGTGGCCATTGATGGACCTCTTCTCCATGAATCTATCTCAGTGGTTTCCAACCTTTTTGGTATGGTGACCCAAAAGTCCAAATGTACTTGGTATAGTGACCCATCCAGGGTTGGCCCATGGGGTTTTGGCACCCTAGGCAAACTGTGACTTTGGCACCCATCTAGTTCAGCATTCCATTTTCTATAGTGGCAAACCAGATGTTTTTGTGGAACCCAACAGCACACAATGGATGCAGCTGCCTGCACTATGAACCCCAAGCAAGTGACATTCCGACATATTGCAGCCTTTGCATATGAAGGTTACATTCCAGCCTTTGACCACCCTCTTCTTCTCCATTACACCCTCTAATCTCCCCTAAGATTATAAGAAACTCACTCTAGTAACCATTAGGGCATGTTGTACTTGTACTGAAGAAAAAAAATGCCAAGTAATGTATGACATGGAAAATACTGTTTCCAGGGTTAGAACTTGCTTTCCAAAATACAAACACAATGAAAAAGGCAAGGGTCGCCATTAGGGAGTAGAACAAAGTTTGAGTCCAGTGGCACCTTTAAGGCCAACAAAGTTTTATTCAAACTGCAATCTTTTGTGTGCAAAGCACACTTCTTCAGACAAAAACGGGTTAGTTCAACAATTTCACATTTGAGTTCCTTGAGAACCCTCGCGTGTATGTTATTTGGACCTGCAGACTTACTAGTTTTCATTTTGCCTAGTAGTTCTAGAACTCCCTCTCTTGTCACTTCCATTTGACTCAGTTCTTCAGACACCCTTCGTACAAACAGTGACTGCAGTGTGGGTATGTGGGTATGTATTTTCCACAGTGAAAACGGATACAAAGAATTCATTCAGTTTCTTTGTGATCGCCCTATCTTCCTTAAGGAATCCTTTTATTCCCAACTGCCTCCCTGCCTGACTTTCTGCTCCTGATACATTTGAAGAAATGCTTATTGTTTGCAGCTTACTTAATAAGTCACTCAGCACAAGAGGAATGCACTTTTAGTGTGCCCTGCACTGTAAGAGTTATAAGAGGCACACCATCCCTAACCAGAGGCCTTATGATCTTAATTAGTTTTCCTTATTTCTTTACTTGAAATATATGAAAGCTTACAGGGGATATGTGGGTGGTGCTTTGTATAAATAATACTCCACATTCCTCTTAACACTTGGAATAGCATTGAAAACAACTGATTTCAAGCTCAGCAAGCAGTTTGCACTAAAATTCTGGCTAGGAAGTAAACCTCAAGACATAAGGTATAAAGCTCCTATCAAAAAGAAGTGGCAGAATTTGCAACTGCTTAGTTGCAGGGAAAAAGCAAGACTGTGATAAGTCAAATATGACCGTGGGGTGGGGTGGGGTGAGATCCCCTTAAAGTGAGCTTCAGATCTGCATACTCAGCTGCTTGTCTTTAGCAGCCACCAGTGCTGTTCAGGCCAATTCTAACTTCCAGACAGCTGTGATCCTGTGTAAAAACTAGCTTGAAAGACAGGTGTCAATTTCTACAGACTGCTAACCACACTCATAGCCCAACCACAGGCCACACCCATGCATAGAGACAAGTGCTGTTGCTATGAATATGGGATCATATAGGGAAGTGAAGCAGAAGGATTTCCAGAAGGAAATGATAGAGGCAGAGTGCATGAGGTCAAACAGGTAAGCTATGGGCCTAAAGATGGTAACAAAAACCAATACGATTTGTCCAGGAGATTAGAGGAGCCAGGTGAGGCATTCCAAAGGGGAGATGCCACCACTGAAAAAAGCCCCATCTCTGGTCACCACACACCTCACCTCTGCAGGCGGGGGCAAAGAGAGCAGGGAAGGATCTTGACGAGCAGGCTGGACAGTGCAGCAAAAGGCAGCCCTTGACATGCCATTCACAGCCGTATTGGTAAGAACCAACATTTTGAATTGTGCCTAGAAACAAACAGGCAGCCGGTGCAGATATGTCACCACAAGGGTGACCTGATCTTTGTATCTGCCAAAGCAGATAAAAGGTGCTAGATGCTGCAAAGGAGACCTGAGTCTCCAGCCTCCCCAAGACCCAGCACCAGCTCAGAACCTGCAACTCACTCCAGGATGGCCTGGCTCTCCAGGCCTTGAGCAGCTTTGTCATTGACCAAGAACACCTCCATCTGGATTGAGCTTCAGTTTATTGGCCCTCATCCCCTCTATTATCTTCTCCAGGCACTTTGTTCAGGAGAGGTGAACAACTCCCCGTTTGGGGCAGGAGGAACACAAAGTCACCAAACGAACTTTCTTCAAGCTGGACCTTTGAGATTTTTGATGATTCATCCACCCATCATTCATTTCCCACCCCTCCCCTCCCCTCCCCTCCCCTTTAGGTCTAAGCTAACGCCTATGCTATTGGGAAGGGTCTAGTCACCCTTGCGGAAGGAGGCAAATGCAGAAAGCCAAGGGACTGTTTTTTCTCTCCCCTTTTCCTCCTCCTCCTCCAGCACCCCGCCCCTTGCTGGCTGTCTTTCGAAACTCTGCCACGACGACGGTCCCCACAAGGGACACAGAAAGGTGAGCAGCTGCCGCAAGACCCTCGGGGCCGAATCCCACTGGCCGACAGGCACAGCGCGTCCTACGCCGCCGCAGGAAGTTCTGTGGCAGACGGCGAGCGGAGCCTGATCGGCATCACATGACTCAGCGGCGGCAGAGGCAGCAGTCGCGCAAGCCGCTCTGGTTGGGTCCCGTTCGGCAATCAGCGCCGACTGGAGGGAGGGACGAGCCGGGCAGGCTGGGGCGCTCGCTGGCTGGCTGGCTGGCCGGCCGCTACCGCAGCAGGCGCAATGAGCGCTCCACGGTGGCGGCGGCGGCGGCTGCAACAGCAGCAACAGCAGCAGGAGCAGCTCCTGGCTCCAGGGCTCGGCGGCTGCTCGCCCGCTCGCTCCATGCCTCTCCTCCATTGCGGAAGTGTGATTGCTCCCGGGGCAGCCTCGGACTGAGCCGTCGCCCTGCGCGCCCGCTTGCCCTCCCGCCGCGCTCTGGATGCTACTTCTGCCGGCCCCCTCGGCGGCGGTGCGGGCGGCGGGGGCAGTAATATGCTCACGCGGGTGAAGTCTGCCGTGGCCAATTTCATGGGGGGGATCATGGCTGGCAGCTCGGGCTCGGAGCACGGCGGCAGCGCCTCGGACCTGCCCCTCCGCTT